GAATTCCTTATCAGGGATTTCCAATGCTGCTGCTTCCTCAGGGATGTGTTTTGGGTCTGTATCCTGGTCCCTTGTTTCTCTTGCTTTATCTTGCTTCTTTGTGTGGACTGTGATGCTCTCTAGTCTCCGAGGCATTGTGATATTTTTGTTTTTATATTTAATTGGTGATTGTGTGTTGGAGTGACTTTTCCGTGATTTTAGTTTTCTTCTTTTTGTTTGTATGTTATCTATGTCAGCAGGGTACTGTTCTCCTCTATTCGCTAGTTGACAGCAGTTATACACTCACCACCTGTCTCCTTTCCTGTTGTCAGCCTCTCGTATGACCCTGCTGACCTTGGCCAACAGAACCTATTGTTAGGTCCTTGATATCCGAATGAGAATGCTGTCACTTTAAAATCCAAAATGGTTGCCACTTGTAAAGATTCAATGGCTGAAAAATGGCTGCCACCTTCGGCCACTTTAACTATCCAAAATGGCCGCTGCTTGTAAAGATTCAAAATGGCTGCACCCTCAGTAACTTTAAATATCCAAAATGGCTGCGCCCTCTGGACAGCAGAAAGTCAACTTTACAGTTTGTCTCCCACCTTGCTGTTTTCCTCCCTAGTCATAGGCCACCAGCACAGTCATCTCTGCAGCCCTTGGTGACCAGGGCTGATCTTTAGGTCAATTCTCAGGTCCCAACACTACTTGGAAATGTTCAGGCTGTTGGTCCCGTCAGAATAGCTGAGTCTGTAGCTCCAACCGTGGCTGTACTGTTTTCATTCAGGTTTTTCCACTAGCTGGTGCCTAATCCACTTCTGTATGTATGTTGTTGTTGATGTTGTTATGTGCTGTCAAGATGGACCCGACTCATAGCGACCCCTCCTTGGGTTTCCAAGGCAGTATCACTACGGAAGTAGATTGCCCCATCTTCCTTCTGAGGAGTGGCTGGTGGGTTTGAACCTCCAGCCTTCTGGTTAGCAGTCAAGTGCCTTAGGCACTACGCTATCATAGCTCCCAAACCACTTCTATATAGTTCCTTTCAAAGCTCAGGGCTCCAGGATTATCTTCTGTATCTCTGTCAGTTGGTTTTTCATTGTTGAAGAGGGTCTGTGTCACTTGTCTGCTTAGTCCTCCATCTTACCAGAAGTGTGCTGTTTATTTTTAAGAATACAGGAGGCCTAAACCAGCCAGAAAAGGCTGTAACTCTGAGGATAGATTGGCTCTGGATACCCAGAAGTGTTCTACTTGGCATAGTTTTATGTGAGCACAATCTGTTTCTTGAAACAACCCCAGGACATAGCTGCTAGTTAGACCAGGAGCTAACTTCTCCTTACTCCTTAATGCTGAGTGCTAACATGTACATTGACTCATTTAATCAGATTTATTTTACCAACAGTAAAACTCACCCTTTTAAAGTGTATAGTTCAATGAGTTTTAATAGTCTTATAATCACTACCCCAATCAAACATTTCTGTCATGCCCCAAAATTTCCCTCAAGCCCCTTTTTAGTCAGTCCCCTTCCCATACACCTCGCTCCTGGAAACCTTTTGATTTTTGTTCCTGTAATTTTGCGTATTCCACAGTGTCATATATGTAGAATCTCACAGTATTTAGCCTTTTGCAGTTGACTTCTTTGCTCAGCCAGATGCTTCCCCTCCCCTAGCACCCCAGCATTCAACAGTTTCTTTACATTTGTTTGTGAAGTGAAATTCTTTTGAGCTCTGTCCATGTTGTTCCATGTGTAAGTGGGTGTTTTTTTTTTTTATATATATCTTGTTTTTGTTACATAATATTCTATTATGTGGATGTATGACAATTTGTTTATCCATTCACTAGTTGTAGGACATTGGTGTTTCCAGATTTTAGCTATTTAAAACAAAGCTGCTGTAAACATTCACAATTAGCTCTTTGTGTGCACATTTCCTTTCTCTTGGGGAAACGTATCTTAGGACTGAGTACTTACAACTACTCTATGAGGAAGGTCTTCTCCCCACTTTCAGATAAAGAACCTGTACATGGTGGCAACATGATAAAACAGCATGCTTCTGGGAGGTATTTCCTTATTGGAAGAAGCAAGCACTTTGTTTTCTTAGATGGAGGGTGACAGCAGCTCTAATCCACGTGTCTAATGGGGAGATTTATAAAGCACTGCCCTTCTTTTTTTCTTGTAGCTACAGAAGAAAGCCATGAAGAGCCAGCATTCCAGAATTTTATGCAAGAATCAATGGCACAGTACTGGAAGAGAAGCAACAAATAGGAGAAACTTGAGGAAACTTTAGTTTCTTAGAGTCCAGAATTTTGCAACTATGTGTGAAGGAACTATCCTTACCTCTCTGACTGGGGGCTACTATACAGGACAACTTTCTTCAGAGTAGTAGAGGTCCCTTACTAGAGAAATACCATGACTCAGATGAAGCCAGTATAGACCTTTAGACCTAAAAGGTAAATACTGATCGCTCTTAGCCTTTCTTTCAGATTTATACAAGGAAGGATATTCTGACTGTTCTTGGAAGCTCATGTCTCTTCAGGCCTGAAACTTCAAGTTAGTCATTTAGAACTCAAGTACTTTTGCTGCTCATGGATGGATGAGAGAGAAGTTACTCTGTTGGGTGACCACTTCAGATCTTTTAGGTTGGAGGTATAGCTTCTTCTTTCCCAGGACCTTACCCTTGACCCTACATTAAGAATTCCTCTCCCATTAGGAGAATGGATGAGGGAAAACATAGGATTGCTCAGGTAACAGTGCAGTCTCCTTGGGAACCAGTCAATGTTGGTATGAAATGTAAGTCATCATAGGACTCTAGGCTGTTGAAGAAAGTAGGCAAAACACATGATTAATGAATAAGAATCCTTTTGATGGTGACTTAGATAAATCTAAGTTTTTGGTTTACCTTTGTAAGCCACTCTGTCATGATTTCAGACTAGGAAATTGTATCATCACAAAGAGATTCACGTTTCCTATTCTATGAGGCTTAAAGCCACATGCCCAAAGCTGTCTCAATAAGATGATGTTTACTAAAGTGTCTTATGTGCTTTCATACTTAGTAACCAGGGCAAAGCCAGGCCCTGTCTATATTGTATTTTAACTTTCACTAAGCAAAGTTGTATTGACTTACTCAAGTATCATGGATTTGGGTCATGTGTACATTCCATACACAGCAGCTGTAGTAAGGGTCTGCCCTGCCTCCACATTCTTAACAATATCTTCAAACAGTGTATTTCCCTCGAGAAACTATCCCTTCCTTATCTATATTTCTAGCTCAGTGGTAGTCTCTAAGTGTGGGTCATTGGATTAGGAGCATTGGCATTACCTGGAACTTGTTAGAAACACAAATTCCTAGGCCCCACTCTAGACCTGCTAAATCAAACTAGTTGGAGCCCCACAGTTGGTTTTAATAATAAGCCATACAAGTGATTCTGGTGCACATGTAGTCTGAGACCCACTGCTCCAACTCAGAGCCCATGGCATAAGTCCAGGCTTTGTGAATCTCAGGTGCCAATTTTCACATACCTTTTAAAATTTAGGATATCAAAATGTCTCCGTCATTGGGTGCCTATTCTCTAAATATTCTAAAGCAATAAATGTGTTTTATTTTACCATGAAATACTTCAGTATATTTAGTGGAAACCACTGATTTAAAAATTTGAACAATTTGCAAAAAATGAAAAATCAAACCCTGAACATACTTGGTTCTTCTCCTTAGTGCCTTTGTGTATGTCTTCCTTAAAGAATAACTTAACTCCCCTATAAGCTCTATAAGGGCAGGGACTAAGTCTTAATTCGTATCCCTTTCACAGGACCCAGTACATATTACTACTCAGTAAATGTTTGCTAAAAGAATAAATTAAATACCCAGATGGCTACTGGTGGCTGCTTTCACTAATAAACAAGGGAAAATGAAGCTAAGGCCAGATTAAGATTTAGATAAGTGTGCTAAGGATGTAAGATAGCACAATTAGCAAATTTATAAATTATCTGTAAAATTAGAACCTTGTTTTATTGTGATTGAATTCATGTTTACTTTCAATGCCTGGAATTTAAGGCACTCAATCATGTACTAATTAAAGCTGTGTCTTGATCTTTGGTCTGTTGGTTAGCAGCCAAATGCTTTAACCATCATGCCACCACAGCTTCTTATTAAAGTAGTAGTCTGAATTTCTTAAGACTGTATTCTGCATCAGAAAACCAACCATAAACACTATTTAACAGGCCAGCATCCATTATTAAGGCATAAAGCACACATTTGCTAATTACTCCTAATTACTACAGTGTAACATCATTTACTTTAGAAGTATTTATTGAGACTATAAAATGCCAAGCAGAGCAGACACTGTGATGGATGACTAACAGTAAAGTAGAAAGGTACATGATTGACCTTTTAAGGGTGCTGCTCCTTTAGAAGCAGCAGCATACCAGCACACTGTGGACCTTTGACAGAGGTGTGGACTGCTGCCCTCTGACAGCCAAGCAGAAACAAGTGCATTAAGCACAAGCCTGTGCTTAGACAGGTTCTGTGTGGGTCATTCACAAGGAGAAAATGGAAAGAAGAAAAAAACCCAAAGAAATGTACATGGTGAAAATAAAAAAAAAGGAAACGGTCCTGAGTCAAGTGGAAATAAAAAGGCAAGTAAGATGAGGATAAATGGAGTAAGTTAAAAGAAGGAAGAAAATAAGTGGATGACAATTGAGAGAGGGCTATCTGGATGTCACCACAGACCTCTGATTTTATGAGACTTCACAGGCAAAACAGTTAAAAAAGGCAGCTACAGATAAACTGTAGTGTTTAGCTATTTCCTATTAGGCATTACTACTGGATTTTCAATGGCTTGAACCAAAAATGAAGCAAGTTAAAGAAAAACTGACATCTGATAGCATTATCTTTAACTTGTGTCAATTAAAGCATAGCTTTGATGTTTAGCAAACATCTCAGTCCTCACACCATCCCCACACAGGGCAGGGCAATGCAGGTAAGATTCTTCTCAGATGTGTGAGAGAGCAACGGCTCTGGAGAGCCAGGCAGTGCTTTGGTTTCCTGATTACCATCGGTGTTGTGTTCCGTGTCTGGGAAAGGTGGCTTGATTGCTGTGGCAAACTGTTCAACAACTGCAAAAGTAAAATGCAACCTTGGTTAAACTCAGTACTACTGAAATTAGGAAGATCCACTGGGTTTAAAAATAAATCAAACCACTGTTTATGGAAAGAAATTCTAAAACAGCAAGGTTTCCTGTTGGTTCTTAGGAGGTTTGTACAGAAAATATCCCTCTCTCTCTTTTATATTTTCCTCATCCTCTTCTTGCAGCGCTGGTTGAAGACAGGGGAGGACCCCATGAGGCTATCAGTGGAGTGGGAACCATAGCTGCTGTCTGAGTCATCAGGGCTCTGGGGGATCCCGGCTTCACTCATGCCTGACATGGGCTCCTCAAAGACATCGCTGCCCAGCACACCGTGCCCAGATACGTTCCCTTCTTCACTCTCTTGAGGCTCCATTTTCACATGAGCCAGGTTCCAAAGCGGGGAAGCATTTACCTCTGTACCTACAAACAGATTGAATAAAACACACCTAGTAAGTCAAGGGGAGATCAGGACAGACTAATGTCTTTGAGCTCAGTTTTCACTCTGAGCCTGGTACTTGCCAGGAGATACGGTTGTTACTCTGCTTTTTCATCATCAAAAAGTAACCAACTCTGAGTATCTTTCTTTCTATTCACTTCTTCCACTTCACTGGGTAGCCCTTTTTCAGTCTCTTTCATCCTCAATTTGTTGGGGTACTCAAGGAAGCCCAACTATTCAAACATCCTTGAGCAATTGATATACTTCCATCTATCTGGTAGTTTTAAATTAAGTACAAGCATCATGAAGAACCAATACAGAATACTAAGGAAAGAAGTTGGATCAACTAAATCAACCCTGGTAATCAAGAGGATAACACATACTGCATCTATATCCTAACTAGTAATTATTTTAAAACATGCCTATAAAGCATGTTCTCTTCCACCAGTTAAAAACAGAAGAAGGTTGATATCTCTAGATGAGGGAAGCTGTATTTGTTTCAGGATTTTGCATTCCCCCCACCCTCCAACAAGTGTTCGCCCACTTCCAGAGCTTGATTCCAAAAAAATAAAGTACTGAAATCAGCAGATCTCCCATAATCAAAGTAAGTTGATTTCTCTTACTTGAAGCCTGTGGCGAAGCTTCAACCTCCAGGTTAGATGGTAGACGCTCATTCTGAGCCCCGAGGACCCCCATGGGCAGTGACTGGTCTCCAGAAGCAAGGTCTGCCTCTAGCTCCTCACTGACAGGGAAGGTGATGTCACTCACAGGTTCTTCCTTAATCTTCACAGGTTTGGTGTCCTCTGTGGCCTTCTCAGGATTCACAATCCTTTCATACTCTTCAGAAAGTTGCTTACTAATCTGTGGGCAAGCAAGAATTAATTTTCCAAGAAATATTAAAAGCAAGTTGCATAGTTGGCTTATGGCATTCCATGGAAAAGCCAATAGAATAAATTAACAGAAGAGCTTTAAAATACTCATTGCCAATAGAAGGAACTTGTTAGTGCTGAGTTTGTGTTTATAAGTGATAGAGACATGTAAAGAAAGTTTGGCAGAGAGAGCTTGTTTGTAAGGTGAAAAATAAAGTTAGTCTGCTTAAGGATAAATCATAAGATTCCTTTTTGGTTATAACGACAAACACTTGACATCTGCCTTAGGTATATAATGAATGGTGTGGGAAATCAGGGTCACTTAGCAAAGACTTTTTTGTTGAGTGTTATAAACTCCTAATCATATTTTATTTTTAAAAAATTTTTATTGTGATTTTGGGCGAAAGTTTACAGAGCAAATTCATTTTCCATACAGCAGTTCATACACATTTTGTTTCATGACACTGACCACAATTCCCCACGATATAACAGCTCTCTTCCCACTTCCTCCCTGTAGTTATCTCTTCCCTGTTTTCTTCCCTCCCATGCACTCCTGCCCTCCCCCATCTTCCTGTGCAAACACTGGCTTCTGTTCTCCCACGGATCGCTCCAAGGAGTTTATCTACCTGATGTGAATGTTTACCCATGAAACTCCTAATCATATTTTAGATTTGGGGAAATAGACCATGAACAAATGATTTGCTTAAGGCCACAAGGACTGAATATATTAGCTATTTCTGCTTCTAATGAAAAATTGTGTCTTTCTCACCCTCTGGGCAGTATTACCTCACTTGTTACTTTTTCATACCACTTAACACAACCTGAAATTGTTTTGATCATTATTTGTTTACTTGTTTTTGTTTCTCCTTCAACAAGAGTGCAAGCCCTAGGAACTTGTTAACTACTGTATTCCACGGTTCCAGACTCAAAAGCACTCAATAAATTCTTGTTGAATAAAAGCATGCTAACCACATTCTCAGACTCTACATACCTGTCTATAATTTCTTCAAGAAGAAGTCTTATTAACGATTGGGTCTTTGACTAAAGGAGGCCCTTGGAGTCTAGTCAAGTCAGTGATGAGGCCTGCTGTAACACAGCTAGGGTGATGAGAAAACTAGGTTGTCTGAAGACCCTGTGTTCTGCATCTTTGACCAACTGTGGGAATTTGCTGAACACTCTTAGACTGGACACCTTTGCCCATTCTTCCACAGAGTCATCTCACCTGTAGCATGTAACTGTGATAGTCCTTGATGCGGTGCTGCCAGAACTTCTGAAGGGAAAGTACACTGCCAATGCCCACTTCATGGAATACCTGCTCCATAATATCGGGGAAAGGAGTCTGCCCCAGCCGGGCCTCCCGATCTGTAGCAAAGCGCAGCAACTTGGTGAACTTAAGGCAATACTCATGTGCTACATCAGTTAGGGTCTCCAGGACACTTTCGTTAGCACTCTCAAAACCTGCATGGGCCAAGATTGTGGCCACTGCCTGGTAGAGGAGCTGTCGACAGGAGTGCCAGCTGAGTTCAGTCACAGGCTCACCTCTCCCACTGAAAATGGATATAAAGGAGTGTCAGTGCTCTCACAAAGGAGTGACTTATCCTGTCTCCCTAAGGGTTTTACAGTTCTAATCAAACTGCTGCCTGTGATTTTATCCAGGCTATACAGCTCAGTTTCATCCTGCTGCTGTTGGAGAATGTCTCAACAATCTGGGTCCTATTTCTGAGCTTCTCCAATTAAATAAAGTTTGAATAAGCAATACATGTCTATAATAAAAGATCTAAGCACCACAAAAGAGTATCCAGTAAAAAGTAAGTTTCCTTATTGCTCCTTCTACCAACTGCTCAATTTTGATCACTTTCAGGATCTGATTAATTTTAACAGGAAGGCTCACACACTGCCTAATGGTGCTCTAATTTCTAATTAACCACAACCATTTCCTCACATCCTGGGCAATATATGGACTTTCAGAAATTCAGAATCCTAATTAGGAAATTCTCCATATAATTATAAGGGATCATTTTTAAAACTGGGAAGGCAACTCAATTTTGTAAGAGCAATTTAAACCATATACAGCTTACGAAACATTTTCATCCTATCCTATACTCTAAAATGGGTAAGGGCCATATTATTATTCCTATTTGGCTGATAAGGAAAGTGTTCAGATGGGTTGACTTATCAAAAGTTACTTAGGTATTATTAGTAAGTGGCAGAGTATCTCAGTTCATGTTCTAATATTCCATTTTGCTCCTAATTACTAGTGCAGACATCTTAATCTTTCTAAGAAGAGACTTCAAAAAGTTGTCTGATCTCTTAAAAAATAACTTTTAACAAGCCTCTAATAATTAACTCCTGAAAATTCCTATCTGTCCTCTCCCTCACTCCGACAAAATAAGTAAATAGTAAGAATAAAACAGAACAGAAAATAACTTTTTCTGGTCTCCACATACCTTACAAGAGTGCCTGAGGTGCCAGTCACCCACTTTATTATTACCTGTTAAGTAGCAACTACTGCAATTCTCTTTACAGTTGTCAAACACATACTTGATTACTAAGTAACTTTTCATTTGATACTTTCATCATCATTTCCCATGACCCGCCTGGGCCAAAGACTAAAGGCCTCAGAAATGTCTAGTAAATCGAGAGCTAAACAAGTATTGCTTTGTTTGAATGACATATGGACTTCTTTCAAAGGAAAATAATTCTTTTAGCAGTTGCTAAAGTTAGCTGATATAATTTCTATTACAAAATTTATTAAATATGTATAAACAAACAAGGTATAAACGTTTGATGTTCATAGATCTTATGTGAAAATTAGAAATTAGACACAAAATTACACAATTCTAATTAATAGCATCAGTAATATGATGGATGATATTATTGTATTGAAAGTAAATTGTTTTCAAACTGTTAATATAGAACTGTTGCTATGGAGCAAATTTTTTTGAGTTGGGCATAAATTATACTACTGTGGTGGGACAGTGGTTAAAGCAGTTGGTTGCTAACAAAAAGGTCAGTGGTTTGAACACACTAGCCACTCTGCAGGAGAAAAATAAGGCAGTCTGCATCCATAAAGATTTACAGCCTCAGGAACCCTATGGGACAGTTCTACTCTGCTCTAAAGGGTGCTGAGTCAGAATTGACTCCATGGTAGTGGGTTTGGTTGGTTTTTGTGCCATGTAAGGACCTAGCTATCCTCCCACTTTTCTCTATTTCAAGACTTCATTATATGTGGCACCTTGACATCATCTGGTCCAGTGGTGATCTTTACATATTTTTACTCTTTTCTCATTTTTGAGACAATTAAAATGTTAACTGTTATCATCAACAGGTTGATGTAATTAAGTGATACAAGATATTAAGTATGTATTGTTCTAGCATAAAAGATATTGAAGAGGCATGACAATCAAATGCAAGGCATGGATTGGGAAAAAATACATCTATGAAAGATACCGGGGATAACTGGAAAATCAGAATATGGGCTTATTAGATGATATTACTGAATCAATGTTCATTTGCTTTGGTGTCATGATTTTGTGATTATGTAGAAAAATTTCCTTATTTTTAGCATATGCATGCTGAAAAATTTAGGGTTGAAATGTCATGATGTCTGCAAATGACTTTAAAATGCTTTGTAAATAAATGTATGTGTGTGTGTATGTGTACATATATGAGGAGCCCTGGTGGTGCAGTGGTTAAAATGCTTGGCTGCTAACCAAAAAGCTCTGTGGTTCAAACCCACCAGGTGCTATGTAGAAGAAAGATGAGGCAGTCTGCTTCCATAAAGATTTACAGCCTTAGAAACCCTATACGGCAACTCTACTCTGTCCTATAGAGTTGCTATGAGTCAGAATGAACTCGGCAGCAATGGATTTTTGATACACATATATGTATATACATATGTGTGCATATTTGTGAATATATCTGTGTACCTATACGTATGGGAGAGAAAGTAAATGGGGCAAAATGTTAACAATTGAGGAATCAAGTGAAAGGTACTTGGGTATTCACTCTACTATTTAAACTTCTCTGTAGGTTTAAACACTTTCAAAATGAAAAAAACTATTTGGCACCAAATGTAAAGTTGTTATATACCGTCGAGTCAGACCCGACTCACAGTGACCCCTCCTTGGGTTTTCAAGGCAGTATCACTACGGAAGTAGATTGCCCCATCTTCCTTCTGAGGAGTGGCTGGTGGGTTTGAACCGCCAGCCTTCGGGTTAGCAGTCAAGTGCCTTAGGCACTAATAGTAGCACTAGGTTATAAGGTAAGCATTCAGTGGATCTGGAACAGTGCTTTGCAAAATCAAACGTGCACATGAACCTCCTGGAGATCTTGTTAAAATGTAGGTTCTGATTCAGTAGGTCTGGGTGGGGCCTGAGATTCTGCATCTCCAACAAGTTCCCAAGTGATGTTGATGTTGCTGGTCTTGGACCAGATATTGAGTAGCAAGGATCAAGAATATTCTTCTATTAGTATTTCTTACATTGTGTTATCAAAATGAAAACAGTTTTAAAATACTTGCACAGAATTTGTGGATTCCGGATAATACTAGATTAAGTTCATGAATTCCAATTTGAGGACACTGAGCTAAACTGAAAATGAAGACAAAAGCATTGCTGTTGAGTAGATTTCAACTCACAGAGACCCTCCCTATAGGATAGAACAGAACTGCCCATACAGTTTACAAGGCTGCAACCTTTATGGAAGCAGACTGCCACATGTTTCTCCCATGGAGCAGCTGGTGGGTTTGAACCGTTGACCTGTAAGTTAGCATCTGAGCACATAACTGCTGAGCCCCCAGGACTCCTCAAACCCATAATATACATTTTAAATCAAACAGACTAGACTGTAAGTGCCCTGAGGTCATGGCCTGTTTTCCATACCAGTGTATTACTTTGTTTCTAATAAAGTGCTTGATACATTGCAGGCACTCAATAAATATTTTTGCATCAAAACTTGAAAGAATACAGCCTCTGGATTTGACCACTGGGGTCCAAGTCTTACACTTTATACTAATTATCTGAACAACCTTGGCCAAGTCAGTTACTATCTCTTAAACCTAGTTTCCTCATGTGGAAACTGGAAATGCCATTAAACTTGACAGGGTTTTTGGGAGGATTATTTGAGAAAAGTAGATAATGTAGCAAAGCCTTGCCTTACCGATAAAAGTCGCTTTCTGGGTCACTGTGCCGGATCTGGAATGGTGTATGGGGATTCTTGCAGTCTAAAGGCAGGAGGTCATCAGGGAGTGGAGGTGATCCAGGGCAGGAAGGAAGAGGTTCACTCTCTTCAGTCTTTATACCTTCTGTTGGCTGCTGATTCTGGGCCTGAGCTGTGGCAATAAGGCTGCGGAGACGTCGGTTGTGCTGGATCAGCTGAATGGTATGGATGGTGAGGCTGCATGGCTCTGATGGGATGTCCAGCATAGTTGGGGGCCTGGGCTTGTTGGCTGATGGCTGGTGCAGGGGTGGGTCATGGACTTCCACCAGACGGAACTCCCGTGGGAGCAAATCAAATGAACTTCTATTGGTCTGGCTTGATGAGATTGGTATCTCTCCCCAGTATCTCAACATTTTGGACTAAGAAGGGAGAAACTCTTAGGTTAAATGTAGACGATCTCCTAAGAGTAGTGTTTTTAAGTCTCTGACATCCAAAGGTTTTAGATTTCTGTAGTGAAAAATAAGAAGTCTACAAGTATTTATGTAAGAAGTAGCTGTTCAAGATCACTTAGAAAAATGTCAGCAAAACTGTAGGACCAAAGATATTCTTCCTGAAGAAATTAAGAGAAATATACTGTTATGTGCCAGTCATCACAATCACAATGATATTTTCTACTGTACTGAACTACAAAATTTGGTCAATAGCACACTAATTAGAATAGTATCTGGGGCTCTAGTGCCCACTGTTTTCCATCTCACCACTAACTCATTACTAGAACTGCTATTATGCCTAATCCTGAAAAATTTGCAAGAGATTATGCTTAACTATGAGATATTTTTCAAAGTATGCTGACACATCTGACCTAGATCAGTAGGAGAAAAAGGAGTAGAGTGAAAGATAGGAAAAAGTAGTTCTTACTCTGTGTGTGTCAAGCACAGAAACCTTTTAACTGGTCCTGGTGGAAAAGTTTATGAAACGCTAATCTAAATGGCCTTATGCTTTCAACCTCTGAAATGTATATATGTATAGAACAGAATCTGACAGATTTCTGTAATCTCCTAACTGGTGTTCCTTCCTCCAGTCTCAACTTGTACATAATCCATTTTCCACACTTCTACTAGACTTAATATTTTTAAAACTCAGATCTAATGGCTTTGTGGAATTAAAAATGTAAATACGAAATTAGAAATGTAATATTTAATATAGTTTTGCAATAAAAGGCCACTATTAAGGCCAGCAAAAGGGCAGGCCCCAGTTCCAGGAACAGGGGCAAGGCAAGGATGACTAAGCCCTGAACTCAACCATACCATGTAATTGGAGAATTCAAACTTAAACTTACCAATCAGCTGTACTCTCTCTCTCTGACCACCCCCTTGTAGTTTTGCCTTTAAATACTGTGTAACTTTGTTGCTGGCTGCTCCACTCCTCTGCCCCCGCATGGGATATGAGTCAAGCCCAGCGTGCTGGAACTTCGAATAAACTCCTCCTGCTTTTGCATCAAGAGACGTCTTTCGTGAGTGATTTTGGGCGGCGTTATCCCTGACTTGGGTTGGGGGAGCCCTGTCGTGGGGGAACCCAACAGCTACCTACTGACTATTAGGAAAAAAAACAATTATTTGGCCTAGCATTTGAACAAATTCACACTCTGGCTTCAACCTACCTTTTAAGATTCCCATATGTCTCCTCAAGCCCAATAAACTTTTATCAAATATCCGGCATTATGTGGGGAGGCAAAGACAAATAATGCAAGATCCCTGTCCTGAGGTGAGGGAGAGAAGCATAAACATAACATTTCAACAGGAAAGTATGTGGTATGTGCTGTTCTAGAGGCAGAGACCTACTAAATTGGAAGCACCAAGGAGGAGCTTTCTGGAGGAAGTGATCACCTTAGTTCATGCTACTCAGTTTTTCAAGAAAGCTACCTACTTCCACTATTGTTGCTAAGTGACAACGAGTTGATTCTGACTCATAGCTACTCTGTACAACAGAATGAAACACTGCCTCGTCCTGCACCATGCTCACAATCTTTGCTAAGCTTGAGCCCATCATCACAGCCACTGTGTCAATCCATCTCATTGAGGGTCTTCCTCTTTTTCGCTGACTCTACTCTATCAAGCATGATATCCTTCTCCAGGTGCCTTCTGACAACATGACCAAAGCACAAGAGGCGAAGTCTTGCCATCCTTGCTTCTAAGTAGCATTCCAGCTGTGCGTCATCCAAGAAAGATTGGTTTGTTCTGCTGTCAACTACTTCCATATTGACTCTTTAAGCTGTGGTGTCTGCCAGAAATGCCCTTCCATTCCTGGCAGACTTGTATTCATTCTCAAGTACAGCTTAAATGCCTCCCCTCCATCACCTCCCAGTACATATCCCTTCATTATACTCTCACATCACTTGCCATGCTTCCATCACAGCATTTATCCTTGGATTTTAACTAGGATTTAATAGCAATCAGTTCCATTTAGGTAGACAGCAATATCTAGAATTTGTTGAGTGATTCACATGTGCCAGGCTTTGCCTTTATTGCTTAATTCAATTATCCCAATAACACTTGTTGTTATGTGCTGTCGAGTCAGCCTCAACTCATAGGGACCACTCCTTGGGTTTCCCAGGTGGTATGTATCACTACGGAAGTAGATTGCCCAACCTTCCTTCAGAGGAGTGGCTGGTGGGTTTGAACCACCAGCCATCTGGTTAGCCTTAGGTACTATGCTACCAAAGCTCCTCCAAATAACACTATGAAGGAGATATTATTTCAATTTTTTTCACACGTGGAAACCGAGGCCCAGTGTTTTGTCCAATGTTACAAGTGGCCGAGAAGGAAATCAAGATAGTTGCGCTTCAGACTTCACAGTCTTAACCTCTAAACTACGCTGCCTCAATAACTGGTTTCCGAAAGGAATGTACGAATAAATGAATGTAAGAAATAATAGAAAAACTCGTCTACCTTCACCGGAAGAGCAAGAAGAGAGGCGAGGGCAGGCACCAAGTGCAAGGTATGCACGAGTCCCTCCGCGGGGTTCCTCAGCCTTGGTCAGCAGGCGCCAACCACAGCGTCCTTTGGTAGCATGATGTCCCGGGCAGCCGGGAGTCGGGGAGGTCTGGGCCTACGCCGAGGCAAAGAGGTGCCACTATTCACCGTCGCAACGTAATTAAGACTCGGTGAAACCTGATGCGAGCGTGCAATCAGGCGCGGAAGGTTGGTTTGTTGCTTTGGGCCAAACCGGCCGGAAGCGCTTCTTCTCGCTCAGGTTCTATCACAGGAAGTTATTGCTATTCTGTTGCAACTTACATAGACGTCCCCATTCTTCATATAATTCCTTTTTCCATTTTTCTCATATTATGACTTTCCTTTGCTACCTTTGTATGCAACGTTCAGGGGGGTGAAGCAGCAATGTCACCATCGTTACCCAAGGAAGCCGCTGGGAGCTGGAGAGAAGGAGGCGATAAGAGGAACGTTGCGACCGAGGGGTGAGGTTTCCTAGGAACAGCTTTCGAGACTTCACCGGGTTGATGATGGCTGATTTTCCCTCTCACTCAGAGTTGCCAGCTACGCTAGACCTCAACCGGGACTTCAAGAAGCCATCCCTGCCAGTGCCGCCGGCGGTGCGGGGAAAGGCCCCGGTCACCAATCCCTCAAACCCGGAGGAGGTGAACAAAGAAAGGTCCACTGCGTTGCTAAACCCCGATTCCGGGGAGCCCGATGCCCCGCCGGCCCTGCCGGACAGCGAGGAGACTAGGGGTCCACAAGAAGAGCAGCCGCGTGCCCCCATAGCGTCTTCTTCCCCTGGCGGCCCGATTCGGGCGCCTGCCTACCAAGAGCCGTCATGGGGCGGCCCGGCCACTACCCCCTACAGCCTAGAGATCTTGAAGGGTGGCACAGTCTTTGGCACCCGTAGCTTGAAAGGGATGAGTCGCTGCCTTTTCGGGCGGTTGTCTAGTTGCGACGTGTGCCTGGAGCACCCTTCGGTGTCCCGGTACCATGCTGTGCTGCAGCACAGGGTGGCCGACCCCAACGGAGAATGCGACGGCCACGGGCCCGGCTTCTACCTCTATGATCTGGGAAGTACCCATGGCACTTTTCTCAACAAAACCCGCATCCCACCTCGCACCTATTGTCGAGTTCACGTCGGGCATGTTCTTCGCTTTGGAGGCAGCACCCGACTCTTTATCCTGCAGGTAAGTCAGAAAACGTAGAATAGCAATTACTGAAGTACATCTGTCTGGATTCCTGAACTCTTTAAGCTTTCACTGAGGAAGGAAATTCTCCCAGTCAGCCAATCAAAAATTGGAGGAACCTGTTCCCCGTCGAAAGAAAAAATCTGAACAATAACTCAGTCGAAAACTTTTATTGGGTGGAAAAACTGTCTTCAAACGGGGAGCATTCCTCATAAAAGATGCCCTTGTCACATTACAATTTTGATCAGCTTGTATACAGTACAAATTTAGGGGATTTTCGAAAAGGGAACTTTAACATAATTAGTTGTCAAACACTTAATCATGAAGCGGTGACTTGGATTGGTTTATTAAGTCTGCATTCTTTAGATTCTGTGTGGCTTATCCAATTAATTCCCAGAACTGACTTTATCACGAGCGTTTAGTTTCTGTGAAGGATTAAGAGTTAAGTTTAAAGAGTGAGGAGAGGCATTTTCTTTAACAGCGTTCCCCTTGTGATTACCTTCCTAGTCTCACTAGGATGTAACTACTCTTAAATGCCAGCACTTACAAAGTAGAATTTAAAAAATAGCTCTACAGACTTGAATATACTACTGATGCCTTTGGAAACTCCTAAAGTAGGGAAGGTTGCCCCAACAAAAGAATGAAAACCAGAAATTTGATCAGTTAGAGATTTGGAATCCCTTTTAAGTTTATGAGGAGAAGAACTTAGATTTAAACTTGGCTAGCTAGCATTTAAGGGGTCTCAAGAACTGAAGGTTTGGATGTCCTAATCCCAAAGTCCTTGCCAGTTTGGGGATGGGAGGCAAAATATGAGCAGAGAACAAAACAATCATTTTGGCACCCTGGGAATGGGTAACACAGTTGCCTACCTTTAAAAGGAATAAGAGAGAATACAGTAATAATAATACTGGATACTACATTTAATCCAGGTTTGAGGTTCAGTCATGGACTTGATCCCTAGTCTTGAGTCTTGGAAGCTGTTTACCTTATGACATCATCTACTAGGTATATTGATCTTGGATGTGTCTCAGTTTAACAGATAGGTACCTAGAGATCTGTTCCTTTGAGTATGGCTACTGTATGGATGGTAAGCAGCACTGGAAAATGTCCTTTTCAACAGGATTCAGATGCTGAATTCCTTTAATGTTTTCAGAATACTAAATCTCCCAGTTCCAAGCTGTAGGGGATGTGTCTTTGCTCAGGAATTGAATCTTGGAAGGCTGCTTGTACTTGTTGAAGATGAGCTTGAGAAACAGCCATTAGAAATTTAGGGATTCTGAGAGTTTGGCTAATTTGACAGATAACTGTCAATGATGAGGACAAAACAGATGTTGGAAGACTGTCATAATGTGACAAATTTCCTTGATAACTGATTCTGTAAAATATGTGCCCCAATCACTTTAAAAGACACTCTTTAAAGAAAACTTGTTCTAACAACTTTTAGTTCCTAAAGTAGCATCTGTCTTTCAGTAGAGGTTTTTTTTTTTTTTTCCTTCACTTTGGAAAATTGATTTTGTGGACATATTGGGAAAACCATAAACTATGTAACATCAACTAGTAAGCCATTAGTTGTCTATTGTTTATAAAGCCCAATGCCATTGAATCAATTCAGACTCATACTGACCCTTTAGGATGCAGTGGTTTCAAAGGCTTTACATTTTCATGAATGCAGACTGCCTGATCTATCTCCTGTGGAGTGGCTGGTGGGCTTGAACCATTAATTTACCTTTTGGTTAGCAGCCAAATACTTTAACCACAATGCAATGAGAGCTTATTGTAGTTTACAAAGAGATGAAAAATAGCTCAAGGTAATGAGCCGGACTAGAATCTGATAGCCCACAAAAACTTGCCATAATTTTCTTTTTTAAAATTTTTTATTGTGGTTTGGGTGAAAGTTTACAGAGCAATTTCATTTTCCATACACCAGTTCATACACATTTTGTTTCATAACATTGACTGTAATCCCCATAGTGTAACAGCTCTCTTTCTGCTTCCTTCCTATAGTTACCTCTTCCCTGTGTCCTTCTTTCCTATGCATTCCTTCCCCCTGAGCTATCTCCCTGTGCAAATACTGCCCTTCTGTTCTTCCATGATTGATCATTCTATGGAGTGTGTCTACCTGATGTAAATGTTCACCCTATATACCTGTCATATTATTTGGCAACTGCTCATATGCAAGTTCCACTTGAAGTTGAAGACAATTAAAACAAGCCCACAAGAGCCAAAATATGGCCTTGAATATAGCCCTCCTGAATTTAGAGACCATCTACAGAATAGATTTGATGCATTGAACACCAGTGGCCGAAAACCAGAGGAATTGTGGGATGGCATCAAGAACATCATCTGTGAAGAAAGCAAGAGGTCATTAAAAAGATGAGAAAAGAAGAAAAGACCAAAATTGATGTCAGAAGAGACTCTGAAACTTAACCGTTGAGTGGAGAGTAGCTGAAGCAAATGGAAGAAATGACAAGATAAAAGAGCTGAACAGAAAATTTCAAAGAGCAGCTCAAGCAGACAAAGCTAGTTACTATAATGAAATGTGCAAAGACCTGGAGTTAGGAAACCAAAAGGGATGAACA